GATTTTCGATTTCGCGTTAAGGGCAAAAATGCAACAGATACTTTCAATCGGTACCCACCGGGCAGGAAAAATTTTAAATCATAATATATACCATGTTGTAGCCGAGATTGAGTACAACAGAAATCTTTTGTAGATTTTGTCGCCAATTGTTAAGTTAAAAGAGTTATGACGCTCGGTGTGAGCAGTGGTGATGCTCACTGATCACAATTGGCATGTATATAGAAGAAATTCAAATTCTCCCTACTGCGAACATAAAAATTAGGCGGAATGTTATACACCATAATGTAGCCGAGATTGAGTACAACAGAAATCTGTTTCAGATTTTTTCCGCCAATTGTTAAGTTAATAGAGTTATGACGCTCGGCGTGAGCAGTAGTGATGTTCACTTATACTCTCAATGACTATAAACCGACTGATATTCTTCTGAAATGTAACACAGATGAAGCGCAAAATTTCTGAACGGTTGTTTTGATATATTTTTATACGAGCCATCTTATTATTCACAATAACAGTGTACACCTTTAGAANTGGAATGCAAATATTTGATACTGAAATACAAACGACAAAATCCTGAATTCAAATAAGAACTGTTTCAACCTCTTCAATGCTGAACGGCCCCATTGCACATGTATTTTTCGCATATACTTTCCTTCAATTGCGCTGATGGTGCCGAGAAGTACTCCAATCTTGAACGCGATTCACCGTGAGAAATTGATTCGATTTTCGATTGGAACGTCTGTTCATATTCAACGTACGCATACTTCCTCTTCTTCGCTGTCTTTTTGGTTTTCAATCCAATCGGTTCCACGTCAGACAGCAGGAATTCCATCCGTTCCAGGTATGGAATGAGGATGTTGTATAAGGTGATTATATCATTCGGTTTGACCTCTTCGCACTGACTCTCTAAAAAATATTCCGTTGGAAGACGAAATAATCGGGTACCCCATTTCTACAATAGAGTTCAACCAATTCTTTGTTCCTCTCCTTGACAATATTTCTTCACCTGCGATAACACCTTCCGCTCCATCTTCCGTGCTCCTTTCATTGGCCTCCCCTTCGTCGCCTTCTGCGGTTACGGTGTTTGCGCTCTCATACAATGAAATATCCGAAGCTATCGGATTGTCTTTCGCAACGTCTCCACATTCGCACTGTCCATTTCCTTCCTTACAGCTCCGCCGGTATCTATTGTATCT